AACCTCTCCAAAAAAAGAAAAAATAAAAAACAGGCAGGGGTGTGTTTGGTGAGAACTGGGCATGTGGCTGAGGTCTGAAGCAAGTCAACGGCTGAGAGTTGTCAGCCCACACATCCTTCTCTCGAAGGAGAGCTCTTAGAGTTGCTTGCCTTACTCCTGTATAGGAAGCTTATTTGCTCTTTGGAATAATTTTAAATCTGACAATTACATGAACTCTACAGGAGATGGGTTTGGGATTCTTTAAGAATTCCTACAGTTAGTGCCAGCAGGACAAGGAGGTAGTTTAGCATAACACAGGTTGCATAAGGAGAAGGGATGAACACATCTTCTATTTAACCAATCAACACAGTGTGAAAACAAGATTTAGGCAGAAATGTGCAACTCTCCTGTCACTTCTGCCCAAATATATCAAACCATTTCTTCTCAGGTAACAATTGTGTTAGCCTAAGAACTCATTAGTTCAGTTACAACTGGGCTCTCGCAAAGCTTTCTGCTAGCTGCACTGCTTACTGGTCTATAAGCAATGAGCTTTTGCCTAGCAACCCCGCAGTGGGAACACAGCTCCATTCTATGGGTAGTAGGGGACATTGGAGGAGGGACAGGGAGAGTGAGGTCCATGATCCTCAGGGCCCCTCTGCAGCTGCTTCCTGACACCATGGACATGATCTGTAATTCTTGGCTGTTTCAGAGGATGGTAAAAACAAGGAGGGAGGGATTAATTGATAGGCAAATAAAAAAGTTTTCACATTGTGAGCTGAGAAGGCCTGAGAGCCCAGTCAGGAGTTGGCACAGAAGAGCATAAAGAGAAGGAGGACTTTTTTTCTTGTTGAAAATGAGGTAATTATGGGAGGTAATGTATCCAGGAAGGGGCAGACTAACAGTGAATTCCTGAGACTAAACAAAAATTACCTTAAACTACATGTGAGGAACATTCTTCGACAAGAAAGAGAAATGTTAAATACAGGACTGTTAACATCAAAGCAAAGAGTTGAATATTTACATTAAAAAAAACTATGCCTGTTAACAAGCCCTGGGCACTTACCAGGCACTGTGCTAAGCTTTTACACACTGATTTATTCTTCCAAACGGTCCTACAAGGTGTCTTCTGTCACCTGTATTTTATAGAGGAAGAAGTACAGACAGGTTCTATAGAGGAATCATGCACAGAGAGGTCGAGAAATCTGCCTGAGGCCACTCAGCTATTTAGCAATACAATCTGTATCTGAAGAGTTGGCCCCTAGACTTTGTGTTCCTAAATGCCATTTGACAGTAGTAGCTATTGGTTGCAGGGGTAACAGGGATAAGAAGCCTGAAGATGACCACATGACATGTGAGGTGGCTTGTGGTTCCATTGTGAAAGCTACAGTTTAATGTGATCAATTAAGTCAACTTTTAAAATAAAATATCTAGAAGGCAGCAAGCACATGGATATCCAGAATAACAGATATTGCTAACATCTTACGCCTACACCTCTTCTTTTTATGGTGAAGCATGGGTATACACATATTTTCATACACCTACGCAACACATACACATGCAAGACGCTTATTTCTCAAGTCCCTAAAATACTCTTGTAATTAAATGCTCCCAACATTGTCTGAGCATCGTCCTTGGATGAAGTGGCTTGGGAGTAGCTGGTCTGTTTGGACAGTGAGCCCTGATGAGATGTTTACTTTGCCGATAAACTTTTTGGTGGAGAGGATGATGAGGTCGCTCCAATCCAGTCCTTGTTATGTGCCTCCTTTACTGACGCCATGCAGATCACTCCTGTCCTTTGCCATCTTCCCTTCTGCCCGTTTCATTCGTTCTGGGAATGTCTCCAGCTTCCTATGTACGTGCGGGCCTCCTTTGCCAACTTCAACCTCATTTACATTGCAGTGGCATTCGCATCCTAATTTATGACTTAACCTGGTATCTCACAAACCTTTAATTCACTTTAATTTCACTATGTATTTAAGGAAGACAATTTATGGGGGTGGGGGGTAGGTGATGACGTTCCGATTGCCAGCCATTAGACTAACTTAATGATCTATGGTGGAATCTCTGAGTTTTGGACTGTTTGTACATGCCTGCAAAGAAAACTAATAAATAAGTTTTATTGTAAAATAAATAATAAGGGCTAATTAATAATAAAGGCTAATTTCTTGGATTCTCAGAGGAGCTCAACCGCCCCTGCTCTACCTCAAGGTCCTTCTATAGAACCCAACATGGAAATGCATGAAGCGGGCCAGACATTTCCTATGGTCCTCAGGTTATCTTGTCATGATTCTTTCAGTTGAGAAACAAAAAATTAATGTCTTTATATAAATTTTCAATCATCTCAATAAGTTGTAATTTTTTTTGGATGACTCTTTAGAGGAGATGGTGGGGGGATTGGACTGTATAAGTGTATACATCAAAGTAATTTTCCTGTTCTCACTCACATACTGAGTACTTCCTAGTAATTAGAGGATGTGACTCCAGGTTATGAGGTTTTGACTTTTCCTATGAGTGTTGTTTAGGGAGCATATTAATCTAAGACTGGGAGTGTATATAGTGCCCATCTACATCTGTGCATATTAATATTTTCCACCTATTCTTAGTTATTTGTTTAACTGCTCAACCCACATGGGACGTGCCTGGGACTGAGGATGCCAGGCAGGTGGGACTGGTGGGCTTGAGGCATGATTGCAGAGGGGGGCACCCTTTTTAAGTTCTTTCACCTCGTTGAGCTTTCGGGGGAAGGGCCAGCTGAAGCTTCTCCCCACACATCATGGAAGAAGAGGGGGAATGGAAGCAAAGGAAAAAACTCTAAGCCACCTTGGTATCTTGGAGATCTACTCACTTCCTTAGCTTGGTGTTTCCATGGTTGAGCTCAGTGGCTGATCTTAGGAGGAGGAATTCTCCCTTTAGCATTTCTGTCCTGGGAAACCTGGCCAGGATATCACTACTGTGACTGAAGCTTAGGAATTCCTGCATAGATCCCCCCAGTGTCAGTTTTTTAAATCTCAGTCTTCCTTTCCACAAGAGACACACAATGGCTTATTCTTCAGTGGAGAATAGTCTGTTTTGTTAGCGGAGGACAATTTTGTTTGGAAACTTTGAGCTGCTGAATTGCTGAATAACTTAAAAAGCTATTTCCATCATTAGCCATTAGGCAGTTAATTACATCAGAATTCTAATCTTGGCTGTGTCCCTTATTAGCAGCATCATTTTATGCAAATCCCTTAGCCCCTCATGGCTTCTGTTTTGCATCTAGACAATGCAGTATATGAACGCTAAGGTCTTTCTGTGCTCTGAAATTCTCTGCCTTCTGACTCATGAGAAGCAGTGAATAGGCGGCATATTGTATGGTGAGGATTTTCTGTATTGATTGCCCCAGACACTGTATAAGTCTGCAGAAAACCTAGACAATGTAGAAAGACCATGTGCTCTAGTGTTAAACATGCATTTCATGTTACTTTGCTAGTATATTGTACCGAGACTCCTGATGACAATCACAATCTCCAGTTCCAATTCTGGGAGTTTCGACACCTGAAGGAGTTTTCAGGTCAGAGACGATACTAGTATTGTTGTCAGTGTATGCTAGGTGATCCCAGTGACACTGCCAGTCCACCTCTGGCTCCCTTGGCTTGATCCTTTTGTCCCAGTGTCATTCTAAGTGTATCCTTTTTTCCTACCCAACTCCTGACTCCTTCAGAAGCTGACATGAGATATTACTTCTACCACCTGTTTTAGACAGTTACTCTGTCATTCTGACTCCTGTCCTGTCTTTCGTGGGTCATACACTGAACAGACATGGAGATTGCCATACCAGCTCTAACAAGTGTGTTTTAAAAAGTACATTATGAGGGACCAGCAGTTAGCATAATGGCTATGTGGCTGGACTCCCACATAGTCAACCACAGTTCGAGTCCCAGACCCGGTGGCTTAAACTCATGCCGGGCGCGTGTACATGCGTGCCCAAGATCACAAGAGGAGAATGGAGGAGAAGAGATTGCAGCGTGGCCATATCCCCTGGAGGGGGGTGATTTCTCACTTTCTGTCTCTCTGTCTCTCTCTGTCTTTCTGGCGAGCGCACACGCCTTATAGCAAAAATACCTCTCAAAAAAATATACGTTATGAATGTACAACTGTAGTGGGGGAAAGGAGGGCAAAGAAATACTGAAGTGTATCTGGAGTATATCACAAATGAGTATGGGGGTGGCTATGTTTTTCTTTTCATTCAGACATTTTGGCCTGACACAGGTCATGTTTTTCAGCACATTCCCTTTAACGCAGAGAAAGCAGGTGCAGCTCTCACTGCCACTGTGGAAAGAGCTCCGACAGCCCCTCACTCTCAGGCTGGGTCTGAAACGCCACATAAAAAATGGCAGCAAGCCCTTTTCAGGAAAGAATTATGTTTGTGCTAGTGTGGAAGTTGTGAACAATCTCTGCAATTATGTTTGCAGTCATGAAACTGTGCAAGGGACATTCAAGCAGGGTTTAAGCAGTTTCATTTCTTTTTCTTTTCAAAAATTTACTTATTTTAATCATGATAGAGAGCACATGCATGAGAGATAGATGGAGACACAGAGAGAAGCATCTTCAACAGGGTCTCATCACCCCACACCCCCCTTTTTTCCCAGCCCTCCAGCTCCTTAGGATCTTGGGCACATGCACACACTGGTGTATTTTCAAACTCAACTGGGATCCAACCCATAGTTGACCATGTGACTACTGTATAGCGAGTAGCAACTGAACTGCAGTGCTGAAAACCACATCGGGCTGGGCCTGGGCAGGATTTCTTGATCTGATGTCTGTAAATGGGCTTTAAGGGGCCCGAGACTCACCTAAACCACCTGGAAACTTCTGTATGTTCATTTTTCTAGAAGAGAGTGGTTTTCATCAGATTCTCACAACGTAACCACTGACTAAAGAAAGCTTCTAAGTCACAGACCTAACATCTTTTTTAGATGCACCGTCTTCTGAGTTCAGGGAGGGACTTTGAGTTGACTTTTTTTCTCCTTCTCTCTTTCTAGAAAAAGCAAGTGAGCCAGACCAAGATCCGGGTCATCTCAACCATCCTGTTCATCTTGGCCGGCTGTGTGGTGTTTGTGACGATCCCGGCTGTCATTTTCAAATACATTGAGGGATGGACAGCCTTGGAGTCCATTTACTTCGTGGTGGTCACTCTGACCACGGTGGGCTTTGGTGACTTTGTGGCAGGTAAGCACCCTAGGCATCCTCGCCATCTCTGGGGCCCTGGCAGGGAAAATAATCTGTTGGCTGTGCTTTCCAAAATCATGATAAAATATGTTGCAGAAGATGCAAAAGAAAATGACTCAGTGTCACCTCAGTGCAAGGGCCCTGTTCACACCCTCATTTCGTAAACAGCCAGCCTCTTCTTCCTCAGAATGCTATGTACCCTTATTATCATCACATGAATTATACAAGAGCACAATGGGCTTATCCTCTAATCTTGGGCTTCTGAATTGTGGTAAGTCTCTTAGAATCAACTGAGAAATGCTGTATTAGCAGGGGGCAAATATGAAACTCAGGAGAAATTAACATAGAGCTCGGTCTGCAGTGACTTGCAGGTTAAGCTTCTGATGCTGAGGTGAGAGTCATTGAACCTACCAAGTTGTTCCGGGCACGCCTGGACATGAGATTTAGCACTCTGGTGACTACGGAGAACTGAAGACTGCCGAATCTATAATCTAATAGATTCTGCCTGAGTGCCTATAGAAGAAACAGCCTTAACTATCAAAATAAATGTCAAGGAGCTGTGTTTTAAGGAGATGAAAGACAACCACCATTAATTTTATCTGGGGATGGGAACTTGGAAATGAAATGAAATTTGGCTCCTTCTATGTGTCACTTTCCCAAAGTGTGATGGAAAAGGCAGGGATAGAAGGAGAGGCTATTCATTTTCCCTAATGGGATATTTCTAGGTGTTCAGACTATTGATTGTGGTTCTCCTACAAGAAGAGGACACATTGAAAACCACTCTATCATAAGCATGACAGGTGTGGGTGGAGTGAGGACATGCCTTTGTTCCTTGGCTTGTCCTCCATTGGGCAGTGGCCTGCATATTCACAGACAGAGCTCCTAGGCAGTTCTTCCTTTGGCCTGTGATCCCAGCTGAGCCTTGGTTTCTCCGAAGAGTACTGTGTACATGAGGAGGAGGAGGCCCTTGTCTCTGGGAATCTGGTAACCTGGTACTTCTGTAAGGGATATTAAAGCCCACCAACGGAGACAGGGATGCCTCCACGTGAATTCTGTAACACAGATATCTGGCAGCATAGTTTTGTATCTATTCCAACTGGGTGGATGAAGACTGAAGTGCGCTTTGTAGAAATACTAGCCATGATCCCCTGCCCCTTTTCCTTTTAATTGACTAAGGACTAAGAATTGCAAAGTCAAAGTGATTAATATTGCTTAGAGAAAGCCTGAGGCCCAAGAACCCTGCAGTCTTCCTTATGCTCTCTGCTCAACCAGTGCTGTCTGACCAGAGGCCTCAAGCTCTGCAGAGAACACAGAGGGAACATTGTAGGTGGATTCAGGTTAATTCCTTTGCATTGTCTATAACTGGTGCATGGGAACATTCATTTGAGGTTCTGATCTAAGGTAATGTGTGGAATAATAGCAGGAGTTTTTCACAATTGTGTTTACATATCCCAAAGCATAATTCACAGTGGGTTGTGCTTCAGAGCTCTGTGCTCACACTGAGCTGTCCCAGGACGATCTATTATAAGACACTTGTGATAGACCCTACTCTCTAACCAATTGTTCAGTTCAGTCTGTTAATATGAGAGCACAAATAGCAGAATCCTGGGAGTATGAGATTTAAAAAAAAATTGTTTTTTATTTATTATTGTTACCATGGTCTGAGCACCTAGTACATATTGGCACTTCACCTATCCAGTAAAGGAATGACCTATACAGTTCCAGGCATCCACACTGTTCTAATATCATCTTCTTGAATACATAGCTTTATTTCCTTTGCCCTGAGATCTTCATAGACCAGGGTCTGATAGTTCACAATGCTGACTATAATTAGATGCCCACTCATTCAAAAAAGATGCATCAGCAAGAGTAGATACCGGTTGTGTTTTGACATGGTATCAACTCTTCTAGAAATATAATCAGAACATCGATCCGGCAGGATTGAGTTCTGGTTTATTTTGTAGCTGACTCACATTAGGGCAGCCTAACAACATTACTGCATTTCAAGAGAGACCCAGACAGGGAGCACACACAGAGCTCCAAATTCCAGACAGGCAGCTGACAAAGAGAATATTCAGAGGGTGTTTCCTGAGCTGCTCGCTAGCGCACCCTAGTGACAATCTTTATTGGGTGATAATGACTTGCAAAGGTAAATATTTACACACAGATAGCCCAAGGGAGAAAGTTAGTGTTCTCTAGACTATCACAGAAATAAATGAACCACAAAAGCCACTCAGTGTAGCAGGAACTCGAATTGTATCCTAGAGAAAGTTGCCAGGGAGAGTTGCCTAAAGGGAAAAAATAAAGGCATCCAAACCAAACCCAAAAAATTCAAACTTGAAGAAGTTGCCATAGCTGTCAAGTCCTTGTGGGCTGCCAGCCAAGATGGGTTCAGGCAGGTGGGAAGGAGACACAGGCCCTGTCACCTGCCTGGCTGCCTTTGGGAGATGTTATCAATGCCATAAGAGCTCAGCCTGGAAGCTGTGGTGCTAACTGTGGTTACAGCCACTACCCAGTAGGAAAGTCTTAGTATCAATTAGCGTGTAAAACCTAATTACTAATACATTGCTAATACTGGTTGTTTTAGAAGTGGCCACTGCCTGGGGCCAGCAAACGGTGTGGTGGATAAGGCTCTGGACTCCTACATAACTGACCACTGTTCAAGTTTTGGAACTAGTGGCTTGAAATCACTCTGGGCATGTGTGTGTGTGTACCCAAAATCCTGAAAGGAGAATGGAGGTGAAGGGGTGGCAGTGTGGCCATCCGCCCCTGGCGAGTGATTTCTCGCTTTCCTTCTCTTTGACTCTCTCTGGCAAGTGCATGTACCGTATGGCCAAAGAGAGAGAAAGGAGAGAGAGAGAGAGAGAGAGAGAGAGAGAGAGAGAGAGAGAGAGAGAGAGAGGGGAGAGAGAGAGAGAGAGAGAGGAGAGAGAAAGAGAGAGAGAGAGAGAGAGAGAGAGGAGAGAGAGAGAGAGAGAGAGGAGAAAGAAAAAGAGAGAGAGAGAGAGAGGGGAGAGAAATGGCCATTCTTTGCTTCATTGGGCAGCCACATCTCACTCAGTGAGAATAAGGCTAATATCCAGTATGTCATCGAGCTTCTTCATTTCTTTAAAAGACTGGGCTGGGCTTGAAACCTATTTTGCATGGCTGCTTTCACCAGTAGCTGTCAGAAGGCTAGAATAAATAGGGTACTTATTTGGAATGAATGACTGGTTCTTTCAGCAAAATAGACAGTCAATGCAAGCAGGCAACTAGTCAATTTGGTTGGATAGATTTTTGCTGTAATTCCTGTTTATAAAATAAAGGGATTGGGCTAGTTGGCCTCAGAGGTCTCTTTTAGTTCTAGTTTATGTTGATTCTAATTGCCGGGCCTAATTGACCTTTTGGAATCATATGTGTAAACACCATCCTTCGGTTAGCACTAAATCACTATTTCATGCATCAAAGTCTCAGTAATGCCATTATATCTAATTTTACTTTCACACATCCACTAATCTCTCAGTAAGCACATTTGTGCTTAAGATGGAAATGGTTTCAAGAATTCCAAACCACTGGAGATGATTTAATAATATTCAATTTTTATTAAATACATTCAAGAAAAAGAAAAGAAAAAGAACAGCTGGCCTTATCTGTTGCCTTGTAGCTCAAAGTCAGTCATCATTAGAGTTCAGTTTTCAGAGAGGTGGGCAAAATTGGCCACTGATCTTTGTTGTTAGCATTAAGGTCAGTGGTCAAGGATCAAAGAAAGTTAAGCCACAAGAGAGGCTCCCTTAGGGACACACATTTCTTTGCCCTTCAATCTCTGTTGTGTCTTTTACACAGCAAGCCTGACTTAGAGTGTGGGATGAGCATGGAGCTGTATCTCCGTCACATGGACCGTATGTTTGCTCTGTAAAGACCATATGCGAGATCATGGTTAAAGTAACATTTGGTTGTTTTCAGGGGGAAACGCTGGCATCAATTACCGAGAGTGGTATAAGCCCCTAGTGTGGTTTTGGATCCTTGTTGGCCTTGCCTACTTTGCAGCTGTCCTCAGTATGATCGGAGATTGGCTACGGGTCCTATCCAAAAAGACAAAAGAAGAGGTAGGACCCCTTCCAAACTCTATGAATGTTCCTGAGATCAGAATAGCTTGCATCAATAATTGCTCATCTCTGATCTGTGGTCTACAGTGTTTCTGACTCTGTAGAGGGCTTGTCATCCTTCCTCATGTTGGGTCATGTGTTACCTCAAAGCCAGGTGGAATGGAGTAGCAGTTATTTCTGGATCCCTTTTGGGCAGGTGAGAAGATAAGGTGATTCATTTACCAGCCCACAAGTCCTAGAAACACTAATAAGTAGCAATTTTTTTTTTAAATGAAAAGAATAAAAACAGAAATGGACAATAGAGATAGACTATGGCTGAGGGAGGTGCATAATAACACTCTCTCAGTAAATATGTAGGGACACTTAGAAAGCTCTTAAAGGGCCCAGAAAAGTCAGGTCATCCTTCAGGTCTCAGGGTCCTTGTAGAAATGCTGTTGAATGCATGAATCTTTTATAGCTTTGGGAAAACAAAGTCATCAGACGGCAGCCAGCCATGGGGAAGTGATCTTTCCCTCATGTCCCCTCTTGTTTGTGAGATTAGGAGAGAAAGATATATTCCTGTGGTGAGGGGCAGGAAGCCTTTACTTCCTCACATATACTTACACAAAAACTTACACAAAGACAAGAAAAGGAAGACAAAAGAAGAGCAGATAGATTATGTGATTATACAACAAAAATTGTGCATGTACTTCTTTTAGGGAA